ACTAAGTGCTGACAAGTTCATCTTAGAAACAGGATTTTCAAGTCAGATAATGAATAGCTAAGATAAGAACTCAAATTATGCTCCGATGTAAATAGTAGAATAGACAAAATGAATACGTTGTAGTAGCAAAATAATAAAAGTAACAACAAGGAGCATGAACTTATCTTGGGCCTCTAAAAACTGTTACAAGTTGTCAGTCTGTAGGAGAGGGGGGAAAGTTCCATGTGAACAGAATCATTATCTTCATTGCCTTTAGGAAGTTGAAACTATTTGGATCGATAAAATACAGATTATGGTTTAATGAGAGATAAGCTGTAAAAGTCCTACAGTCATAAACCTTCATAATGAGGAGGCTGTGAATCTACCATTATGTATTACAGCTGTAAAGATCAAACAGTTCATAGTGAAAAGCATGAGCAATTTTGTTTTAGCAGATGTTTATTGTTTTGTTCTTTAGTTTCAACTCTTGCTGAACCAGTGCTGGCAAGTTGTGCAATTTAAATATGAGATTCCTTTTAAAAAGTCAGCAAAACAGCGCTCTGAATGGTGCTCCACATCACCCTCACCTTCCTTTTTGATGCATAGCACCACAGTGACTTGAACTTCCCCTGGATAAACACGGGCACCAGCAGGTCAGATCTATTCACAAAGGTGGGGAGCGGAAATGATGTTGGAGTACCAGACTGGCTGTATGTCAGGAACTGCCTTTGTCAAATTAAGACTGCATGTTTAAGTCCACATTTGCAAATAGTAAAATTAATTCCTTTATTGACAGCAAGTCACTAAGCAGCACACACTGCGTAGGCGAGCCTGCGCTGTGGTCAACCAGGCCTAGGAGTGAGCACCTCTTATTCATGCATCTGATTGATAGTAAATCCCTGCAAACAGCAACTGCAACCAACCGTCTTTTCTCCCCCACACACACACCCAAACACTCAGCCCACACAGACAGTGGAAAACAGGCATATGGAATTAGCAGCCATCCAGCGTGGCAGGCACTGGTGGTAAGGATTGGATGATCTCCTGTTGAGCAAGCAGATACTCTGACAACCTTGAGGGGACAAACCAGCCACCCCGGTGTCTACCAAACAACCTCCTGCTCATGTAGGCTCTGTCTGTATGAGTGTTTGTGCAAAAACTGTCTGCAGCTGGCTGGCTGGTCTATGCCAAAAGTTTGTCCCAAAAACTTTGCTTGTTCTTAGTTGTGCAAGAAACTTTGGCAAAGAGGGATGGAAATGCTCCTGGTTCTAGGAAGAAGTCACGGGGAACTGAACTTGGAGCAGGTGTCTTTAGAGAAGGGTGTGCAGGCAGGAATTACAGGGAATATTCCATTTCCTATTCCTCTTGAAATACTTTCTGCTTCAGCCATGCATTAATAAATCTAGTTTTGCAACATTTTTCATCAGGTTTGAAAAACAAATGTCGTGGCCGCTCAGTGCAGACTGCTGAGCCAGTACAAATTCCACTGATTGAAAAAAATGTTGAAAAATACTGAAGCAGAGTGTTACAGTAGTTTCTACCTCCACAGCAGACAGCCTCTGTTCTCACACAGCTGGGATAAACGCATCAAGTTGTGGTGGGCTGACTCAGGCTGGATGCCAGATGCCCACCAAAGCCACTCTATCGCTCCCCTTCTCAGCTGGACAGTGGAGAGAAAATATAATGAAAGGCTTGTGGATCAGGATAAGGACAGGGAGATCATTCACCACTTACCATCACAGGCAAAACAGACTTGACTTGGGGAAATTAATGTATTACCAGTCAAATCAGAGTAGAATAATGAGAAATAAAACCGGATATTGAAACCACCTTCTCCCCACCCCTCACTTCTTCCTGGGCTCAACATCACTCCTGATTTTCTCCAACCCCCCTCCCCAGCAGCACAAGGGGACGGGGAACGGAGGTTGGGGTCAGTTCACCACACGCTGTCCCTGCTGCTCCTTCCTCCTCAGGGGAGGACTCCTCACACTCTGCCCCTGCTCCAGCCTGCGGTCCCTTCCACGGCAGACAGTCCTCCAGCGTGGGTCCATCCCTCCCACGGCACAGCCTCCTTTGGGCACCCCCTGCTCCAGTGTGGGGTCCTCCCTGGGCCGCAGATGGAGATCTGCTCCCCTGTGGGCCTCCATGGGCTGCAGAGGGACAGCCTGCTCCACCAGGAGCTGCAGGGGAATCTCTGCTCTGGCACCTGGAGCTCCTCCTCCCCCACTGACCTTGGTGTCTGCAGGGCCATTCCTCTCACATATTCTCTCTCCTCTCTCTGCTGTGATTGCTGTTTTTCAGCAACTTTTCCCCCTTCTTAACTGTGCTATCCCAGAGGTGCTACCACCATTACTGATGGGCTTGGCCTCAGCCAGCAGCAGGTCCATCTTGGAGCTGGCTGGCATTGACTTTATCAGACACTGGGGAAGCTTCTGGCAGCTTCTCACAGAAGCCACCCCTGTAGTCCCCCTGCTACAAAACCTTGCCACACAAACAAAATATGCAAGTGCATGGCTAGTTTGATAGACACCAAATTATACCAGTGCCTGACCTTGATCAAATTTGCATTGCTGGATGAGCATGCACAGGCCTGAGATTAGCAAACCTGGAGCCATGGCCTTATTCTATCAATTCAACCCCTCGGGCTGCTGGCCAGAGCGCAGCTTCCAATAGGGAACCTGCCCAAGCAGGTTAGTGTTTCAAAACTGAAATTGTGGGATGGAGTTTGCATGTAATATTTTAAATCCTGTTCTGTAGATGAGAGCCTTGGTGATGTGCAGGGAAAAGATTATAGTGAGTAAAATCAATCAAGAAGTTGAGGGTTTTTTAGCTGCCACTTGGGCCTTTGTTTCCTTCTGAGCTTTTTGGTGCTTTCCTAGTTCTCTCCGATTCACATAGATGAGCTATCTTGGCTGCTGGGGAAAAGGGATGAAGAGCTGAAATGGCATTGCTGTCCTGAGCAGACAGACACACAGGAGACAGTGCGTGCCGACGGACTGCCGCACGCAAACAGGGCAGCTCAACAGACAGGATCCTACGCCGGCTGTTGCAAAAGAGGCACCAGGCACTTCAGGCAACCACAACAAACACCATGTGGGTTTGGGCTGGAGAGGCGGGGAAAGGGTGGCAATGAACAAAAACATGCCCAGGGTAAGAGTTCCTACTTCTGCAGCCTGATGTCAGAGTCCTTAATGTCGACAAATACTTTGGATGGATGTGCGTAGTCTTCTACTGTAATTTAGTGTAAACAGATTTATGTTGGGTTGCGTATCCACTGAGCTTTCTTCACAGGTATACAATGCAATATGTGCACATCTCTCTGGCATGGATAATGCAAAATACTGCATTTACTTATCTGCACCATGGACTGACAGTTTTGAAACAAAATTATTGTCTTCATAAACAGTTTCATAATTGAGATAACTAAAATACTGTGTTTCCCTCTTCTGGTCCTAGGCATCAATAAATGCAATATAAATACTGAGCATGAAAGCTGCTAGGGGCAAATGTAAGATATTTATTACTTTAGCCATTATATTACTTTAATAAACAAAAAACTAGATTCTAACCTGAAAGCATTAAATAGATTTTTTTCTGTAAACTTAGAGATTACTTGGGTACTGTCAAAAGAGTTGTAAGTTTAAGCTCAGCTGCTCTCATTTTCCCAAATAAACTATTTTCATATCCTATCTTATTTTGCTCTAATTATAAATTGGGAAAGTAACTGAATCTCATGTTAAGATGGCAAATCAGTGTCTTCACTTAGTTTTATTTGGTCTGTGACCAAATCTCATTTCATAAGTCATTTGATTGCCACTCACTGATAACATCTTATTCTTTTGAAGGAGAGGATATTCTAGGAGCATTTCTATGCTGGAAAGATGTAAGAAAACTCAATTCAAGGTGGGTGGGAGCAAAGTTGTGCTCATATTACCTTTATGCGCCCTGCTACTACTCTGTTCTTCTCCTGGGATGATATGGAACACCAATCCTAGTTGCCAAGTTAATTACATGGGTACTCCATCCCTGGCCAGCGCCAGTCAACGTCCGCTGTGGCAAGCCGGCAGCACAGGCATCTTGTGTTTCTAAGGCTGAAGCTTAAAAAACACAGACTTTGAAACAAAGCCAATAACAGGGTGTCCAGCACATTAGTTAAAAAGTCTGCAGTCTCAAAAATTTATGTTTCAGACACTACTAAACAGGTGGAGTATAAAAGGAGGTGAAAAAGGGGGAAGAAGGAGTTCAGGGCAAAAGGAGAGACGTATTTTAGGTAGGGTTTTTACTGGTTTTCAACTGAAAGGTCCCTACCACAACTGAATAGGTAATTTCATGGTCTGTATATGATATGCATGCTTTACCAGTCTTCTAAAAGTAAAACAAAAATTATCTTTTTTTTGAAAGTCCAAAAAAATGATAATTTTATTATAAATGTTCATGGAAGTAAATCCCCACATTTTTAATAAATCAACTGCATTATTTGCATAATGATGACAAACCAGTCAAGTAATTCATTGTATTAAATAATTGAGGAAACTAAATAAATAATAAAATCATTCCATAAATACATACATACCAAGCTTAGAAAAGCAGCTTATAGGTGTATAGTATTGTCCAAAACCTTTCAGGTACATATCTCTCCTGTCAGCAAAGCTATGGCAGGCAAAAACAAATGTATGCCATATAACTTCTCAAGGTGAAAACTCTCCATATCCAAGCAGCTCTCCCTGGAATAACAAAACATGCAGCACAGTTGTTTCTGTACCAAACCCAGTTTCGTAACTCCAGCCAGTCTTTAAAATTGAAAGCTCTTTAAGAAGCGGTCAGTCAAATGATAAAAACAAGGACTGATTGAAATTGTTTTGCCAAAACAATTTGCTGTCAGAGAATCCCAAAATACAAAAGAACATTAAGAGATACTTCAGAATAAAACGGTGCATACACCCTGAACCTGTTTCTAAACAAAACCGGAGTGTTAAGAAAAACACTTGTTTGATCCAAAAGTCAGCGTCAGGTTGCCAATGTTACTTCAGGATAGAAACGGTATTTTCATGTTGGTTTCCAACTAAGTGCAAGAAGAATTGAAAAGCTGTGCTAACGTGGACAGGGACAAAGATGTAAGCAGCGTATAATAGCATAACTAACATAGTAATGTTGAACGTGTAGAAGAGTAGTTTTTCCCAGGGCTCCATGAGATAGCTGCAGGTGATTAGTTCAAACTGGCAGTACAGCCAATAGAGATAGTTCTTCATGCTCTTGATATCCATCTTCAACTTTGTGCCACTTCTGAAAGCCTTCCCTATTGCAATAAAGGATAGTTAGTAGAAATAAAAACCTCACCAAAAAAATGGCAAAAAAATATATAAAAACATCGTATGGGCAGCAACTCCATGCTACTCAGTTTGCTCATACTGACCATTTTTAGTAAATGATGTTTTAAAAAAACAAGAGATCTACAATTCCAAAATCGCAAATACATTTTAAAGCATAAAACATGATCCGACAGTAACTGACTAGCAAGAGTCATTCTTTTACCCCATCCCATAAAAGTCTTCATTTGTATTCCTTTTCCTTTCCTTCATTCAGTTCTGAACATGACAGTCCCATTTAGACCACTGTGTACTGGGCACCATTATTTACCAAGGAGGCTCCACAAGATCTCTTTTTTCCAGAAATCGATTACCCAATAATTGTTGCAATTCTGTTCTCCAAGCCAAACTCTACTTTCGTAACTTTTCCTTGCACCAGATTATTTAAGACTCTGTTGATGAGGCTTAATTCAAAAACCACTTCAAACCCCCTCTCCTTCACCACTCGTGGATTTTGACATAGAACTTGGCTAGAAGTCTGATTTCTACTGACGCAGACTGAATTTTGTGCCTCACGCTTCAGTTGCTGCTGGAATGCAAACTGGGGGTATGCAGAATACCACACATACAGAACTACAATAAAAGGAAACTATATACAGATTATCCAGCTGCTTCTGCACCAGAGATTGAATTGGTCTGTTGCCAGAATGAAAACATATAAAATTATTTTAAAGCTTTGTGTTCAAATTAATGCTAATAATTATTGAGTATTACATTACATAGTTACCAGAATACAGAACTGTAGGGGCAAAGGGAAAACAGGACTATTCCAGTTAATGGTGCTTCCTGTCATTTGGTAAAAGAGAGGAGACAAAACAAAAACTGTGATTCCCCACTCTTTAACTGGAAATTTAAGAACTTCTGATGGTGTCAAGATCTGTGGAAAAAAACCTTAATCCACACAAATTAAATACAACTTCATAGACCTACAGAGTGGGATTTTATCCTAACAAAAGCCACTTCCTAAAGTTTTTAGAAAAATGTTGCCTCACCTTTCCCATTTTACTTCCATAGCTTCCCCACCTCTTTTCTGCCTGACAGGTGAGATAAACTAGACAATGCTTCTGTACTTAAAAATTATTAACTACTTCTAGCAATATGCTGACTATGTCCATCACATTTCTGTACATCACATACAGTTTTTACTAATCTAGGTTATACTTAAGCCTCCTACCAAGAAATGTATTGCCAAGCTATTTTGAGGACTTTTCTTAGAAAAATTTGATTTTGTAAAAAGTAGAACTTACCTCTTCACTTCTCCCTGATGACAAAATGTAGAGGTGAGAGACGCTTCCTAACACTTCTGCCTTTTGCAGCTGAACAGCTCCTATACAAATTGAGAAGCAGAAACAATTAACTTTGATCCTCAATTACAGAGTGTGTCCTCTATACCCCGCCCTTCTTCACTATTGCTAAAAACTCCTCTGGCCAAAGCTCTCTGCATTATGCAACAAGGACAGCCATCGTCTGGCTCAGTACCGCGCTCTCATGACAGCATTAATTTGATAATATCTACAAAGCCAGAGCTGAGGAACTGCAGGTAGGGAGGAACATACAAGACTGAAATACTATTTATGACAATCAGCAAAAAATGCTTACAATTAGTGCCTTCCCTAACTTCAAATCTCAAAAGATATCTCTGCTTCTGTAGGGCTTCATGATGCAGGCTGCCAAAGTTCCTACAAGGTGCAATTTAATGTTCATGCAAAAATATGTTGTCAGAGTTAAGTAGCCACAAAAATGTATTTCAATTAATATGTCACAGGGAAGTCTCTGGTGAAGCCACCACCTCCTGCAACCTTTGATTTTTACCACTTTCAGACAGTTCCCAGTCTTCCCTGCGTCAGTATCTCCCAGCCCCGTATACGTACCTCAGTTGTCCTCATCCAGAAAAAACAGAACGGAGAGAACACAGGGACAAGATTTCTGCAAGGAAAAGATGGTGAGTTTTTCTTATAAATTCTACAAAATAAAAACAAGCCACAAATGCTTGAATATTTAAATGATCTAATTGGACAAGTAAATTAGGTAGGAAGCTGCACAATACATTATGTTCTCAACTATCTGCCTGCAGTCAAATCATTTCCAAACATGAATCAGTTTCATTTTGGGAGAATACGCCACGAGCAATGTCTAAGGCATCTGAGCCTCACCTTCTTTCTTCCCTTCCTTACCAAACACAGCCTGAGCTGATCTATTAGTAAATGCCAACCTACTCCCTCAACGTTTTTTTTCCCCCCGTTTCCAACAAACTGAAGTTTTCTGTCTACAAACTCTCCACTTCCCATAGAAAGTTCAGAAACAGTAAACCACTGCCCCAGCAGCAGGAGTCAATATGCCCCATGCCCTACCTTTCTCCTGCAGAGCGAGAGTCTGCCACAGGAATGCGTCTCCTGAGCTGGATGAACTACTACATCTGGAAGATATAACTTAGGCTGAGGTCTAGAGCATGGACTCATCAAACGTGAAATATAATTGCCCTGGAATAGTGCTGCAGGATTATTATCTCAAGAGTTTCTACATTCAACCAGACTTTTTCAGCTACATATTTCAACGGAGGATGGAGGGCTGTGGTGGGAAGGGGAGTTTTTTACTGGTTTTTTTTCCATTAATGTGTTGGTGAAAAATAACATACACACAGGAGAAACAACATTTGACTACCACAGTGCCCGCATTCTTGGCAGGCCAGCATCCCTGCTTTCATGTTACTCACCGTCCCTGAAAGGTGGGTCAGCCTCTCCTGAATCCTTTAGAAGATGCACTGGCACAGCACCGATTACCAGGGCAGCCGAAGGCAGGGCCATCACCTCAGTGCTCTCTGAATCCTCTCTGGAAAACATTTGCATAAAAAACAGGAAAGCTCAGGCAGGTACTTCTGCCATTCTCAAGTGCAAAACTGCACAGATATTTTCATTCCTTTCAATAATTCTCCACTACTTCTTTCAATAATGAATTCCCCAAGTTGAAACAATACAGAACGTGAGACTTGTCTGGGTTTGCTTTAGTTCTAACAGCTTCAGAAAGTTTTACCTGACAGATGAGAGCCATTGTGAAAGAGATAGGTGATAGCACAGAAGATCAGGTGATTTCTATTTCATAGAAATAAAACTTTGGTGTAAGCTGAATCCATTCCAGATGTGAAGTTGTAAGCAGATTTTGGACGGTGGTGTGTAAAGCCCCCAGGCATCCTCTCCTCCTCGCTTTCTGAGCAGCCACTCCTGCTGCTTTCCCAGCTTCTACCCCAAGGGGAAATAAGAACTCATGAATACCTTTCACAATTCCTAATCAGATGTGTATAGCTTCACTCAGAATACAAAATTTGCCTGAAATGCCTAACTTTCAAGGCAGTTTTATCCTGTGTGCTTTAAGATACTTTTCCCCACACAGAGAAGAAACAGAAATAGTCTTCAAGATAAAAAAAAAAAAAAAAAAAAAAAAAAAAAAAAATCACAAATCACAACAACAACAAAAAACCCAGACAAAAATGTACTGCTCCGTTTGGCAAGACACTGTGATGGATGACTGCACATGCATGGAGAAGGCATCTTTTTGCAAAAATCTTACTCTGAAGAGTGGGAAAGGGACTCTCCTGGGTCGCACTCTGTCCCAGAGGGGCTGGTCCCTTGTTTTCAGGTCTCTTGATTGTGTTGCCCACACAATTAAATTTCAAAACATCTTTTTACTCCTTCTCACTGTGGTTTCCAGCCAAACAAATTCAAACGCAGCCATATAAAAGCCATAGAGTGACACAGCAATAGTTCTTCCTAGCAAGGGAAACATGAATTTAAAAAGCAAATCAGAAACATTCAAACTACCAAGGCACTACAGAAAATCACCAGCCTCCCTTTTTTAAGTTCAGTGAGTTCCCCATATGGAAAAGCAGCAACTTCTGCTTTATACAGAATTTAGCAGATTAGCTCCATAAACAAAAACAAGGG